GTTCACGAAGTCGCTGTTATTTAAAGGCTGTCACATAGTGGCCCATAGCGCCACCCTGTGGTCAGCTCCAGAACTGCACCGCCGTAAAACGTTCACACTCTTAGATGCAGGTTGTTGTCGCTCAGCAGGTTAAATCTGCAGTGAGCTGCAAGGAACTGAAGGTGTGGGCTCAGTGGAGGCATCAAACACAGAACTTCCTGCATTCTGGTGAATCTTTATGCTCCAGTTTGTTTCCTTTCAGGACACTAAAGCCTTTTAAAACAGTGATTGAGTGTTTGGTGTTTTTGTGGAGCTGATTTGATCATTATACAATGATTTGGTCTGTTTTTCTTTATTCCAGCCCCTCAGATGTGCTGGTTTTCTTTTGTTAAGACGTTTCTGATCAGAATCACACGAAGCCCTGCTGAATGGAGCCGCCTCCGAGTGAAAACAGCGCCTCGGTTCTGTTTCCCCGTTCCCCCGTGCTCCGGGTTTGTTCTTCGGTTCCACGAGCTCATTAGGATGCTGATGTATTCGGTAACTAAAAGCTGCTGCTGAATGAGGACGAGGCGCTTTGTTCGATGCGAGTCCTCAGAAATGGAAATGCTGCGGCAGGACGGTGAGCACTCATCCTGTTAACAGAAGCACTTCAAACGCTGGGCCAGCTGTGATTAAGAAGCAGCTCGTCACGGCTTCAGCCTCCAGCTGGACTCGCTGTGAGCCGAGACCAGCGTGGCGCCCTGTTGTGATCCAAACTAGAACATGAAACCCTGAGATTTCAGTCATGTCGCTTTGAGTGGTTTGTGTCTCATTCAGCAGATCTGAAACGGTTCTGTTTCCGTCTTGTTGGACAAACTTCATGTCGTTTGTTGTTGTGAGTCCACGGGGAGTGAAGGAAATGTGACTGAAACTAGATCTTTTACTGTTTTTGTCTCGTTGGACAATGTTCCTCATTTTTTTGTAAAGTTTTTGCATCAAATTTCAGCTCATGTTGGATAAACGGTGAGTTTTAGTGTGAAAAACGACATAAAGGAAAACAACAAACAGTTGGATTTATTTATTTGTTTGTTTGTTTATTTAACAAAATAAAAACAAAACAAAGTGAAATCAAGACATTCAACTTGAAACTTGCTCAAAACGTGAAAAATGGTCTCTGAGGGGTTCTGAGGGTCTCTGAGGGGTTCTGAGGGTCTCTGAGGGTCTCTGAG